AGTATATATATATAATTGATTTCAGAGAGGGAGAGGGAAAGAGAAACATCAATGATGAGAGAGAATCATCTATCGGCTGCCTCCTGCACGCCCCACAGGGGATTGAGCCTGCAACCCGGGCATATGCCCTGACCGGGAATGGAACCGTGACCTCCTGGTTCATAGGTCGATGCTCAACCACGGAGCCACGCTGGCTGGGTAGCAGTGGGGCTTCTTAACGTAAAACAGGCTGAGAGACATCGATCACCATTGAGTGTCCACTATGCTGACGGAATGGGGCCACCAGGGCAGAGTAGGTCCCTGGTGTCTCCGGGCGCTCACCCTCCCCTCTTGTCCCAGGCTTGCTCCTGGAGAGAGAGGGGGCGGGCTCCGAAAGTGCCCCGAGCTCCTGGTGGCCTTCTGGTGTACTCGACCAAAGTCTGGTCCGTGAATTTGCACCTGGGAGAGGTCCTTTGTCTGTCCCCTGCTTCCTCTTCCCCCCTGAGCCTCTCCTCGGATCCTCCCCATATGGATGCTCCTTTCCTTCATATCCAGTGGCAGGGCCCCCCTTGCAGGGCTGCTGTCACCCCAGCCGGCCTTGCTCCCTAGGCAGGCAGAGAGGCATCAGAGGTGCAGGGAGCTCAGATAAGGGTGAGCTAATTGGCCACTTATTGCTTTTTATGGCCCTTTTACTCTCTGGGGAATCCCCAGCAGGAGTGTTTGCTTACAGGGAGAAGTAGACTTCCTGCTGGGAAGCAGCTGGGAGAGGCTGCCCCGGGGTGGGTGCAGGGTGGGCCAGTGGCCTTGGCAGGAAGGGCAGGGAGGGAGGAGGTGCCCCAGCCTCATTTCTTGCCATGCCTCCTCTCCCCTTGCCTGGGAGGCCCCTTCGTCCACATCTGCCCAGGGAAGGTAAGCAGAGCTGGTGTCAGAGCAAGGCTCGCGGGCAGATCACAGCTCTGTCGCTTGCTGGCCAGGTGACCTGGAGCGAGGTACTTGCCAATCTCGAACCTCACTTTCCTCATCTGTGAAATGGTCACAATAAGACATGCACTCGTCCTCAAGCATTTGACATCCCCTGGCACAGAGTAGATACCAACAAAGTACAGGGCGGGGATGGGGGGTGGCCTCCCGCAAGCCTAGGAAGACCTGTCCACCCACAGGCACCGGCCTCTTCCCTCCCGTGGGGCTCCCAGGCTCTGCTTGCCTCAGCCATGGAGGCAGTGCCGTGTGTGGGGGCGCTCAGTGCTTTCCTGGCGTTAGCTCATTTAATGAGTGGGCATGAGGGTGACTTCTCTGTGCTGTGTGACCCCCACTCCTCAGCCCAGAAGGCCAGGACCTGGGAGGTCTGCTCAGTGGATGAGCCCAGATTAGCTTCTTCAGTAGAGCAGGTAGCTTAGTCCTGCATTGTCTTGTATGGTGGCCACAAGCCACAGGTGGCTATTTCAAATTAAATTAAAGTTAAAAATTAAGTTCACTGTGTTTTTGATAATGTGTAACCAAGAGGCTCTTGTTTTCAGCCCCACCTGGCTTTTGGGGTGTCATAAAGTATTTCCAGAGTCCTTCTAAAGCTTCCTGATCTCACCTCCAAATACCCACCCACCCGCTTCCCCTCGATGCCACCTTTAGGGTTTACCCTGAGCCTTCTCAGCTCTTCTCTGGTTGAACTGCACTGCAGCCTAGGAGCTGGGTGGTATGATTCATGTCCAGTATTTTTGTTGTAGCATCTTTGTCATAGGCACATAACTAATTGGCCGTAAGGCAATTTTTCCATAAAAGAGATAAAATCATGACAAATAAGAGGGACATTAAAAATGAATAACAGAATTAAAAAGGCTACTGTGTGCCCTGGCTGGTGTGGTTCAGCTGGTGGGTGTCATCCCATGCACCAAAAGGTTACACATGCCCAGGTTGTGGGCTTGATCTCCAGTAAGGAGTGTGCAGGGGGCAGCTGATTGATGTTCTGCTCTGACATTGATTTCTCTCTCTCTCTCTCCCCCACACCCCTCCTCTCTCTCTGTCTAAAAATCAACAACAACAACAAAAAAGTTACTGTGAAATATTTGAATGCATTTAAAATGTGTTTAGATTTATGGCAATCCTGTGCAAATGACTGATTTTATTTTGTGGATTATACCTAGGCACTTGTCTTCCTTCCATGGGAAACATGTGGGTTCACCATGACCCTCAAAGAGAGGCCTTGGCCTCTCCCTCCTCCCAACGTAGTGTGTTTTGAAATAAACAACCAGCTCGCTGGTAAATCGTCATCTGGAAGAAATGCTGACTATTTTAAGATCACCCCGTTTAACTGTTTTCTCCACCAGTTTGTCAACGGAGAAATGAAGCCAGACTGACAACCAAGCTGATGACACAAAACAGCAACAAACCAAACTTACCCCTTTTTATGGCAATATTGCCTTCCGGCCACTTAGTTATGTGGTGAAAATGCTCGAGGCAAAATGTCTAGCATGGGAGTACCAGGAACCATGACGAAGTCTTTTAGACGAAGACTGGAACTTGTGTTGTTGGCTATGCTGAGCGCACTCTCTCTCCTTCCTTTTGAAAAAAAAAAAATGATGGCTAAATGGTCTGGCAAGGCCCAGTGACCTTAAGTCACAGTGAATCTGTGATGTCAGTGAATATTTACGTGCAAGTTCCCACCTCCACGAGGTCTGATTGAATAGCACAGACTGTGCAGGCAGGCGGCCTGGGCATTAGACCCAGGTCCCTGTGATGCCCAGTGACGCTGGCTAAGTCCTTAAGTCTCGATGGGCCTCAGTTTCCCCATCTGTAGCACAAGGATGATACTATCTACCTCATCTGCCCTCTTGTGAAATGAGTGGCATCTGACAGGTGCATCGTCATGGCCATGAATTGTCACCGTTAGTGCATCCATGCAAACTTTCCAGTGGATCCTGCCAAACTCTCATGTTGACTCCGGCTGGAGCGGTTTGGTTCTGTCAGGGCGGCTGGATCCAGCACCTTCAGAGACATCTCTTGTTTGAGCAGGTGGTGGCTCAGGGAAGCAGCTGGCAGGGATGGGGGCTCAGGCGGCTCCTTTCATTCTAGCACCTCTTACTGGTGTTGGAATTCCCCTCTTGGCATTGACTTCCTGCTGGGGTAAAGTCTTACCCCAGGACTGTGTCCCTCACCTCAGGGCAACACTGCTGACTTCTGGCAGTGAGCTTTGAGCTGAGTCTAGCTTCTCCAACGGGTGACTTAGACCTGCGTTGTCCTATACAGTAGCCACTAGCCACACATAGCAACTGAAAATAAAATTAAACTCCTTGGTCACATTAATGCCACCAGCCACATCCCCACTGCTCACGGGACAGCACGGACTAGAGCATCTCCATTCTCCCAGCTGTTCGGGCTCTGTTATCTGAGACGCAGTCTTAAGAGCCCAGCTTTGGGGCCCGGCAAGCAGGCTCCCCGGTCTGGCTCTGCCCCGCATGGGCAGCATGATCGTGGGCAGGTTCCTCTGCCTGCTGCCTGCAGAGCTGGGAGGGAGAAGGCAAAGGGCCCACTCCCCGGAGGTGTTGCTCATTCTCCGCCCTCCTCCTCCTTGTACTGTCCTGGCCTTCATCTCCCCACCTGTCCTCGACTGAGGGCTGAGGGCTCAGGTACCGAGAAGTTCGAGTCAATTCTTGGCAACAGTGGCTGCTGTCTTGGGCAGTTGGAGGCCTCTCCCTTCTGGAATGGCAGATGTGGACTTTGTCTTTTGAGCAAACACACACACACACACACACACACACACACACACACACACACAGCTTTCACCTGGAATGGTTCCAGACTTACAGGAAAGCCGTGATGGTAGCGCATGGAGTTCTGTTGCATATCCCTCACCCTGTTTTCTCGTTGCTAACTTCCTAGGTGATGGTGGGACCTTTGTCAAAACCACAGAACCATTCACTAAACTCCAGACTTGATCCGAGTTCTGCCCATTTTTCGACTCGTGTCCTTTCTCTGTCCCAGGGTCCCATCCAGGGTCCCAGGTTGCATGTAGTTGTTGCCCGGCCTGCGCTGGTCTGGGACAGTTTCTCAATCTTCTCTTGGTTTTTATGATCCCAACAGCGTTGAGGAGTGACGGGCAGGAATTCTGTGGAATGTCCCTCTGTCTGGATCTGTCTGGCATTTTTCTCATGATTGGACTGGGGTTATGGGTTAGGGCAGTGATGGCGAACCTTTTGAGCTCGGCGTGTCAGCATTTTGAAAAACCCTAACTTAACTCTGGTGCCGTGTCACATATAGAAATTTTTTGATATTTGCAACCATAGTAAAACAAAGACTTATATTTGATATTTATTTTATATATTTAAATGCCATTTAACAAAGAAAAATCAACCAAAAAAATGAGTTCGAGTGTCACCTCTGACACGCGTGTCATAGGTTCGCCATCACTGGGTTAGGGTAAGAAGACCGCAGAGGCAGGTGCCCTTCTCGTGTTGTGCCACATCATGTCAGGGGCGCATGATGTCCGAGTGAGGGCACTGCGGACGGTCACGTGCTCACTTGGTTCGGGTGGGCTCTGCTGCTTCCCCACCCTTTCCCTTTGCGTGTCTGCTCCCGGGAAGCCAGTGTCTGAGCACAGCCGGTCCTCAGCTCTGTCTCTCAGGTGTGGTTTGTGAACCTTTCCAAGTCCTCCTTTCTCCCAGGAGGTGGTCCCCAGCCCTGGCCTCCAGCTCCAGGTGGGAGAACAATGGGGAGCGGGAGGTTCCCCCTGAGCCTGCGCTGGAGGGAAGATGGGTGCCCATCCTGGGGAGCACTGTGATCTTCATGCCCTTAAAGCCGCAGGCTGCCTTCTATAGAGGAGGAAGGGACTGGTCCCCACCTCCAAAGCCTCCAGACTGATGGCCGTGGGGGCCAGAGGCTCCTGTCGTCAGCCCGCCCTGCCCCTCACGTGCCTTGCTGTTCCCGTGAGGGGCTGCTGGAGGCTTCCAGAGCCAGCTTTCTCTGTCTCTCCTGCCATCAGCTCTGTCCCCTGTCCTGCCGGCTCACTGGCACTGTGTCTCGGCCCGCAGGGTGCCGGCTGTGGTGAGCAATGGAGATGCTGTGGACACAGCTTTGTCCGGGGTCCGGCGCTCCAGCTGGAAGCGGAAGAGTTCCCGTCGAAGTAAGTCCCCCACCTCCCAACTCAGGTCTTAGCCATTGGGGTGTGGTTCCAGGATAACCTGAGAGCTGATGGCGGGGGGAGGGGGGCTGTGTGAGCTGAGGGGCCGTCCTCCCTGGCTGGGCTGCCGTGGGCTGGGTGGCAGTTCTGGGGTGGACTGGACACTGTCCACGCTTGACAGTTGCCCCCGTTTGCCCCGAGAGCCACGGTCCAGGCGTGGACCACACATTCAGCCGTTCATTGGCTCCTCCCGTACTTCCGAAGCAGTTGGTGGGTGTCCCCCGTGACCAGGACGAGGTTGCTCTGGGAGCAGAGCCAGGCAGGCGGCTCCCACGAAGAGGGCAGGGCAGGTGGCAGAGTGGGGACAACCCATGCGTCCCGGAGGCAGAGGGCCAGGGAGCGGGGTCAGGGGTCAGGGGTCAGGGAAAGAGTGTCCAGGCGGCTTGTGCAGGAGCCCGAGGGAGCAGTCAGCCTCGGAGTGATGGATGGAGTGCTGCATCGGAGGGGTACCGGGCGGGGCGAGGCTGCCACCTCCCCGCCTCCTCCTGGGCCTCAGGAGCCACACTTTTTCGAAGGCAACAGGGAGCCAGGAGAGGCTGGTGATGCAGCCGCATTGCATTTCAGTCCATGCCTGTGGGGTGGGGGTGTAGCTTCGGAGACAGGAGACAGGGTGGGGTGGGCTGGACCAGTGAGGAGGCTGGCGGAGAGGGCGGCGATGGCCGGAGCTAGGGACCTGGACAGAGGCGGCCAGGTCTGAAGCCACTGGGAGGCAGAGTCTGTGGGGGGAAGGCAAGGAGGTCAGGATGAGGCTCTGACAGGCTCTGAGGTCCCTGGAGCAGCTGGAGGCATCACAGTTAGGATGGCGAGACTTCAGAGGTTCCAGGCCTTCCCGGAGGGCTGTGGGGCGAGGCCAGGCTCCCATCAGGGCTGGGGACTGGCATTCGAAACCCTAAAGAGGGCAGAGAGTGGGCACAATTTTGGGAAAGACCTCACTACATTTTGTATCTATTGGGCTACTGCCCTGCTCATAGACCTCCAGTGAAGTGTTCCAGGATTAAGCTCTGTCTCATTTGTGCTCATTTGCTGAAATCTTCACCAATCAGGACTCTGTGGGCTGGGTTTGGGGGGACTCTTCTTAATCCCACTCTCCAAGTCCATCCCCCCCCCCCATTTCCACTTCTCACTAGGGCTGGTTGGCCCTCCCCTGCCTCTGGGTGGGAGGTGGCTCCTATGGGGTAGTGCTGGGGGCCTGGGCCACTGAAAATGTGCCCTGGGCGCTGGGCCTGCTCCCTGCTCCCTGCTCCCTGCAGGTGCCCTCAGCCAGGGGGGCAGGTCTGTGGGTGGCAGGGAGGCAGTGGGGTCTGGGAGGGGTGGGGAGGCAGAGAGAAGGAGCGGAACAGTGTCCTCTGAGAGTGGCGGGCAGGGGCTCCCCAGGGCCCAGGCTGCCCGAAGCTGATGCTGGCGGGGGAGCTGCCAGCTGGTGCAGCTGATGTCAGTCTGGCAGCCGCCTCCGCCTGGGCCGCCACAGCCTGACTTGTGCTCTCTCCTCTCCTTCTTCACGCCCAGTCGACCGGTTCACTTTCCCCGCCCTGGATGAAGATGTGATTTATGACGACGTCCCGTGTGAGAACCTGGATGCCCGTCAGCCCGGTAGGGCCCCTTTCAAGCTTCTCTGGGGCTGCGGTGGGAGGGGCTGGGACTGGGGACCGTCTGTCTTCTTCCATTTCCTTCCCTCCTCACCCAGCCAATTGCCCCTCCTTCCTGCTTTTAAAAACCACTGGAGTCATCCAGGGAGAGTGGGAGATGGCTGAGGGTGGGGCCAGGCTGGGGCGGGGCAGGGGTTAGGGCCTCATGGCTGGGGAGGCTCTGGCTGAAGGGACTCAGGCCAGTTATTTCACCTCTCCAAGCCTCGATTCCTCCCTCAGGAAAATGGGTGATAGTCTGGGCTGGCAGGGACAGTGACAGCTTGTTAAGCTGAATGGTGAAGCGGAGAAAGCTGGAAAGCCTGTGCCCTGCTCTGCGGTGAGGCCCTCTGTGGGCCTGGAGGCCAGGGAGACTGTGGCCTCAGACAGTGGAGGTGGGGGGGACATAGGGGGAGATGGGGGAGGGGGTGAGTCCTGCTGGAGCTGGGCCCAACTTTCTCACCCAGGGGGAGGGGTATTTATTATCACCATCTTTGCTTGAACACATTAGGCCAGCCACTCACCCGTTTGTCTCTGGTACTCTGCTTTGAGACTTTGATTTGGGCATATTATGTCCTCATTCTACAAAGATATTGCAGAGGCAGGGCTGGGATTTGAACCTTGGTCATTCTGACTCCAAGCCCAGTACTCTGTCCCCTACCCCAGGAGGACTTGGGCAGTGTCTGATGCCAGATGAAGCACAATTGCTCTCACTGTTCAATCAACCCCACGAGGTCGGCAGGGCCAGGCTTACGGCTCCAGTTGAGTTGCATCAGAGAGGTTAAGCCACCAGCCCCAGATCACACAGCCAGGATTTTCTGGACATCTGCCTGACTCTTGCCTTTTCTTTTTTTAATTTTTAGTTATTGATTTTTTTTTTTCTTTTTGGAGAGAGAGAGAAAGGGAGAGACACAGAGAAACATGGATTTGCTGTTCTACTTGTTTATGCATTCATTGGTTGATTCTTGTATGTGCCCTGACCAGGAATCAAACCTGCAACCTTGGCATATTGGGACGATGCTCTAACCAACTGAGCTACCCAGCCAGGGCCTGACCCTTGCTTCTACTTTTTTTTCCTTTTAAAAAAAATATTTTTATTGATTTCAGAGAGGAAGGGAGAGGGAAAGAGAGATAGAGACATCAATGATGACAGAGAATCATTGATTGGCTGCCTCCTGCACACCCCCCACTGGGGATCTAGCCCGAAACCCGGGCTTGTGCCCTGACCAGGAATCGAACCATGACCTCCAGGTTATAGGTCGACTCTCAACCACTGAGCCTCTCCAGCGGGGCTGACTCTTGCTTTTTTGACTACCCCATTCTGCCTGCTTTCAGGGGCTCCCCATGTCGGGGAAACACAGCCCCTGCTTTTGAGGAGCTCCTAGTCTGATAGGGGTGGCCTTCACCATCCTTGGGCTATGCACAGTCCAACGGGAGAGACACACAGACACGATAAGACCTGAGGACCCCCAGAGCCACCCTCCTGACTCCTGTTCCAGCCACAGGGACAAATGGGCCAACAACAGGCATCCCTTTGCAAGCCCAGGAGGTGCTTACCACCCCTGCTTGCAGCTCATTTGGATCCAGGAGAGGTGGGGACGGCCGCAATGTGTAGGGAGGCAGTGGGGTCTTGTAGGTCCCAACCCAGGAGATCTGCACCCCCCCCCCCCCCCACCACCTTCCAGCACTATGGTGTCCCCAGGGCAGGGGAAATGGCTTGTCCCTAGTTTTCCCCGAGGTGGTTAAGAGTATGTGTCAGACAATCTGCCTTTGAATCCCAGCTCTGAGCCTGCAGAGTGAGGACCCCCCACCCCCAGGTCCCCACCTGCAGGGCTTGGGAGGACTGAGTGAGACAAGGCTGTGGCCGCCTCGGTAGGTCTGCTGCTCAGGGATGCTGCTGTGTTAGTATTAGACCGGTGTGGACTCATGTGGGCTCAGCGGGCCCTGGGAGAGGATGTTGTTGGCCGAGGCACAGGCCACCCACGCTAGTGGACACTCAGCCCTGGGTTCCAGTCTCGGCTCTGCCATTGATTAGGGCACAGAGGTCTGTGCCTTTGGGCCAGACATATTTTATTTATATGTTTCTTCATACAAAATCAGAATGTCATCCTGACCTCGCAGGACTTTGGGGAGGGTCACACCGGAGGACTTCTCTTCATCTCTCTGGGCCTCAGTCGATGCATCTGTAAAGTTGGGGCAATAAAGTTAGATGCTGGGCTGTGGTGAGGATGCCGGTAGAGAATGACATGGAGCGCCGAGCGGGTGGTGGTGAGTGCTGTGGAAAGGGGCTGTGATCTTGAGCACCAGTGAAGCCTGAGGCCCCAGGAAGCAGAGGGCGGGGACCAGGACCAGAACTGCTGTGAGGCCCCTGAGGCTGAGGGTTTGGCACAGGCCCAGGAATCTGGTGGCACGGTGTCCACTGGGGGAGCACTTCTAGATGAGCCCAGCATGGTGGGGCTTCCATGAAAAGGGGTGAGTGGATGGAGCCGGGCCTGGGAGTCTGCAGCCCCTCCCTTGCCTGACCTTGGGTCAGTCATCTGTCTAATGGAGGGGTGATGACTTGCCACCTGCCGACCTGCAGGGCTTCTGGGAAAATCCACTGAGATGGACACGTAGATGTGGGCGGGGCGGGGAGCTGGTGGCCCTTGGAAGGTGGTGGGGGGAGGGAGACATCTGGCATGCCACCCTGGTTCTTCCTCAGGGGCAGCCCCAAGCATTGGTGGGGCCCGCACTGCAGTAATAGGACAATCAACCCAGCCTCGTAAAGGTCACCGTAAAGGTCACCGCCTAGTCACCAGCTGCTC